GCCCCTCGGGGCCTTGGCTGGGGACTGTTCGGTAACAAAAACCTGAACGTTCATCAAGTGTCCTCCCCGCTCTACTTCCTGTCGTCTTTTCCTGGAAGTGAACTCAGACGCTGCCATCAGCACATGCTGCACGCCTTGTCTGTCTTCAAGATCGCAATTATTTTTACCAAAACCTACATCCTTCTTTTTTTCTGCAGCAGAATGCGTTGTTTTGCTGCATTCAGACACTGACTCTTCATTTTCTTCACAAGTTACTTCTAACCTTTGTGGCAGCAAGGGCTCATGTCCTGTCCAGAAGCGATGCAGTAACATCATTGAGGTGCTGCCCTTAGATTTATTTTCTTTTTTTTTTTCCTGTCTGGTGGCTGTCAAGGAATCCCTGCCATTTGGGAACCGTAGATCATAAAGGCACATCAGGGTAGGAAACATTGGCATCAGCCAGATAAAGACTGAGGCTTAGATGAAACGCACATTGTTTCCTGCGCTTTACTGAGATCGCTAAAAGTGAAACTGCAGCCCCAGAGATCTGGGAGGATTGCACCACGTCCATTGCTAGCGGCTGTCCTGCTTTCCACTCCCAGCAGGAGGAATTCTCAGTCCTCCCGAGGCAGGCTGTGTCAGCGCAGTTGTCGCTGCTCTTCCCAGCTGTGCATACCCTTTCCTGTCCAAGCACAGCCCCACAATCCCCATCTGAACTCCTGCCTGATTTTCGGGGTGTTCTACGGCACAGAATACAGACAATCTCCTGGGTGATGCAAAAAAAAAACAAAAAAACACACCCCAGAGAGTTCATTTCCATGTGAAACGTCTGGGTTGGAGATGACCTGAAATGCTCCAGTGGGATGGTTTTTCATGATGAACTTTCCCTCCGTTATGAGGTCAATACTTGTCACTAGGATCAGCTGAGAAGGTTCTGCTTTGGATTCTTGGCATTGAATTGTCCGGGATTGGCAGCAGGGTCTTCTCAGCAGCGATCTGCCCCTTGACAGATTGCCAGGGCTGAAGCCTGGCTGCCTGCAAGCCGCAGTGGCCAAGAGGGTGATGTAGTGTTCTGTTTCCAGTCCTGCCCAGGTCCTGGCAGTTTGGATACTGTTTTGATCGGTGCACCCACTACAGATTTATGTTGTGTGATTTGTAGTGTCACAACGCACTGCAAAGTTTTCTGTGTAGATAACTCATGCAAAAGCTTTAATGCTATTTGTTGACCCTGCCGTCACGCAACATATTAATGTCGATACTGAGAATTACCTCGCAGTTTCAGCATAGCAGTCACGAGTACCAAGGCTATAATAGCCTCGTGTCACAGGCTTGCGAGAGAGAGCTACAACGACCTGCCTAGCCAGGATCTGCTCCGTTCGTGCTCTTCCATGGGAGCTGAGCTTAGCAAGGTACCTCCCTTCCCTTGGCACCGGGAAGCTGAAGATGAAGGATGCTGTATTTGGAGGTCAAGTCATCGCGTTGGATTTGAATGTGGAAAGCGAGGAGGCTGTGGAGTTCACATGAGTGTGTCTTGTTTGTCTCGCCACGGTCAGCCGGTGAAGGTGGAGTGTATTAGGGCTGGGACTGCAAGAGTCCTGGAGCTCCTAGCATGATAGATTGTAAGCTGCTGGTTCTGTCTTGTGTTGGAGCATTTCACTGATGCAGCAAAACCTCTGTTCTTCTCAAGCAATGTGCTAGTCTCCAGATTTCAGAAGAGCTGACGCGCCCCCACATTAACATTGGGCCCCCACATTATGGTGGGGATGCGCCTGGCACGTCAAATCACATTAAAAACATGATGTGAGGCTGCACGTGGGGACGGCCAGCGTTCCAGCAGGGTCTTCACGCATGGGATCCCACCAGCAGGCACGTGTGCTCCTCCTGCTGCCAGCCACCACCGCCTCTCCTGTGTAGCAGATCCGTAGGAGTCAGCGGGTTCGTGGGGTCCCACGCAGGAAAGAGGCTGCTGTGCCACGCTGGCAGCCTCGGAGCACCAGCACCGTGGCTGGGAAGCAGCAGTCAGATCAAAGAGTCTCACACGCGTCTGCTAAAGAGAGTCTGCAAGCTGCCGTGCGTGTTGGGGGCGGCAGGGACACCAGTGAGCTTGTGTGCCTTGCTGAGACTCCTCGGTGTGTGCGTCAGGGGTTTTGGACCTCACAGCTCTCATTCACGAGCCTTCATACCCTTCACAGATGCAACTGTGTCCATCAGAAGATGAGATAATCCCCTTATTCTTTCCCCTTGTAGACTTCCACGATGGATGAGACCTCAGACGAACCTCCCACCTCTGCCGTCCTCTTAGACAACTGCCACTTCTCCCAGGTCGTCTTTAACAACGTCGAGAAGTCTTACATTCCCGGAGGAGACATAACCTGTTATTATACCCTCACGGAGAACATCGTTCCTCGCGGGAAGGACTGGGTGGGCATCTTCCGGGTAAGTGAGTACTGTGAAAACAGAAACAAATAGCTTGGGCTTTCATAGAACAGGGTTGGGGGGTTGGGTTTGGTTTTTTTCCAATAATAACTTGCATAATGGAACATCTTAATCCTGCTTAGGGACAAAGTGCTGGACCTGTTGTGACCTGAACAGCTTCAAAGCTAATCAGACACTCTGATTATCTTTTCATGCATAGACCACAGCTCTCAGAAGTCAGGATATCACTGCAAAAGTCCTCCCAGTAACTGATCTATGTGGAAATATAATCCCATTGCCATAGGATAAACATGAACTGCGTGATGCCATGTAACAATTTTGCTGTTGCAGGTGGGATGGAAAACAACCAGGGAATATTACACCTTCATGTGGGCTCCTCTGCCCACTGACGTCTGCAGTGACGGCGCTGTGCAGCAACAGATCCAGTTCAAAGGTGAGGTGGGAGCTGGGGTCACTCAGGAAATGTATGTGCACGTGCACCCCCAGACTCCCACTTTGCTGCCACTAATAAGCACTGCGTTCGGAATTACAGAGTATCTGTAGGAGATCTGTTTTGGGAGACATTTCGAATCCCATAGCAAATCACAAAATTTTGAATCTGCTAAATTCTGTCACCTAGACTGAGCGGTATTGTTTGTTTTCTTATCCCTGGCACAAGGAATTGCTAACGGTGCAGGAACCATACTGAACTAGGCTGTCTCAATTTTCGGAGGGTCTCGCTTTCTGTGCTGTACACTTAAGAGAGTTAAATAATTAGAAGCTGCATATGACGGGGTTGTTGTGTTTGTCTCAAGCTTACTACCTACCAAAAAATGATGACTACTACCAGTTCTGCTATGTCGACCAGGATGGTGCGGTCCGGGGAGCCAGCGTGCCTTTCCAGTTCAGAGCAAAGACTGAGGATGATATCCTGGTGGTTTCCACACAGGTAGGTGTCCTCTCTTCCTCTGCTTTTTCCTGCCTTTGCTTTTATTGGCATCTGCTCATTGCTAACATGGAGCGATCCGGTAAATCGGATGCCAGGCTAGAACTCAGCAGACTTGGGTTCTGTTCTTGGCTTTGCTACTGATCAGTCACACAGATTTGGGCAGCCTTTGTTTCTCTACCTGCCATTTATCGCTTAGATTGTGAGCTCTTTGTCATGGGGAGACACTTAATACATAGCGGTTTAGGGCATTTTGAATATTTTTAAATAAAAATGTCATTTTCATGGCAACAGCCTCTCATTAGATGGGAGTAAGACCATGCACATGGGCAATAATTGTGAAGCCAAGCGCTCTTACTTCGCAGTGTCTTGTGTGCAGCCCTGTCGTTAATGACTACGCTGCACTCTCCCTTTTGCAGAGCTCATCTTGCTTTGCTCTTCACACTGTGCTATTTGGAATGCAGCTTTTCAGTGCTTCTGTTATGACCGAACAACTTTGTTGCTTGCCAGGAAGAAGTGGAAGAAATTGAACTAGAAAACAAAAATTTGCGTAAAGAAAATGAGGAGCTGAAAGCAAGCTGTGCAAGTCTCCAGAAACAAAACATCAATCTGCAGGAAGAGCTCAACAAGACACAGGTAAACAAAAAAAAATAATATATTAAGTCAGAAACTTTAAGTCTGAAAGATGAAGAGGGACTGAGTCAGGTCTTGTTCCACTGTATGCTTCCAGGAGAAAATTAAAGAGGTTTCTCCCCATGTTATCTGTTTAATCCTTTGCCAAATCATACAACACCTCTACTGCAATAAGAACAGTAATGATGAACAAGAGACTTCAGCAGACACAGCAGTCAGCAACATATGGGAAGGGGAGTGTTCAGAAATATTGTGTAGGCTGTCCCAAAATCACATTATCATTATCTTTTCCTCCTTCAGTTTTGCTCAAGGCTTAATATAAAGTAAATGGGGTCTGAAAGAGTAGTCAGGATGCAAAGGAGATACTTCCCTCCTTCAGAGGGGCTGCCTGGAAACGTTGCATTTGATGGTTTTTGCAGTTCTAGTGCAGAGCAGGACTATTGCTTGGGTCCCGTTTACCTCCTGTCGACCTCACTGTGATTTTCAGGAGCTGCAGAATAGTTTAGAGTCTCTAAGGAGCAACACAGAGAAACTGGAGCTGGAGCTGCGTTCCCTGAAAAAGGAAAATAAACATCTAAAGGACCTGTATGACTGCAGAGAGGCAGAACTGCACCAGTAAGTGTATTTACAGCATATCTCAGAACAGGATTTCATGTAAGCACCTCGCCTTAATGGATTAAATTTCCATTGGTGAAAGTACGGTGTGTTTGATTTGTTCTGAGTAGACTCAAGGAGCAAATTCAGAATGTGACATCTGACAAGGAATGCCTGGAAACCAGACTGAAAACAGCGCTGGATCAGATGGACCAGCTGCAGGTAGCAAACATATAGCTGCCTTCCTTTGCTTTTATGAACTGTCTCTGATGAAATCAGTTTCCCTCTGACAGAGAACTGAGCAATCTTGAGCAGAGATGTAGTGTATGAGTTTCTTTTTTTGATTACGTGGGTTCTTTAGGAAAATGTCAACCTCAGGAAAGCTGTATTCTGGAAGGAAGAATACAGCATTACATTGACCTTTGCATTACATTGACCAAAATCAGACTGTTATTTACCTCCTGCTAGCTAAGGATCCAGGCAGAAAACACTTGTTTTGAAAAACATGCTAAAATTATGTTCAATTATTGGGTGAAAACAAGACTTCTGGCTGGGAGGTATGTGACGGGAGAAGGTAGACTGGAAATAGCTTGGTTGTTAGGGCTGGGGCATGGGAGACCCAGAAGGATGGGCTAACAGGCTGGCTGTAGACTCTCTGTTTTTCTCTTTGTTCTCTGACTCCCCAGACTAGAAGCAGCATGTTGAAACTTAAAAAGCTCCTCAGAGAACATCTGAGTGAATACTGTGTTCTGATAAATACATCAGCTCCAGTATATCCCCATGTAACTGGTCTCAGTTTCTGCAAAGGTTTTCATGGAAAAATGTTTGCAGGAAAAAAAAAAAAAAAAAAAGTGGCCCCGAGTTCTGGAGCTTTGCTTTCTGCAGCAAAAGGTGCCTGAGCTTCTCACTGAGAGCTGTTTGATTTTCAATTTCTGCCCACCCTTCTTTCTGCCCAGTCTCAAGTGTTGAATTATGAGAAAGAAGTGGAAAACCTATCTCATATGGACCACGACAAGACAGAGCAGATTGAAAGTTTAAAGGAAGAGAATCGCCAGTTACACATGGCTATAACTCAACAGGTAAAACCTTCCCTGAGTATCACGGTGCTTGGGGGAGCCAGGGAGGAGAGGCTGAGGCATCCCAGGCAGTGAGCAGGTACAAATATTGCTCAATCTTACGGGATTCCAGGGGATTCCGTGACAGAAAGAGAAACATCCCTGGTGGCATGAGTGTCCACATAGGTGGTTCTGTGAACACACCATCTGACAGATTCATATAGCATACATATATTCTTATGGCATACACATATGTTTTAGTTTTGGATGAAATGCCTTTATAACTAAACATTGACATTCTGATTCCTGTAGCAGGAAATTCAGTCTCTGTCTTGATCTCTTCTGAGTCAGCTCAAAGGGTAAAGTAAATCAGTGGGAATTCAGGATTGATATTGGGCTGATTGCAAATTGCTGCATCTAAGCAAAATTGTTTCAGGACTGAGACTTACGGGTAAACAAACCAAGTTACCCTAAATCTGCCCAGACTATATCCTGTTAATTTTACCTCCAACAGGAAGCTGATTAGTAATTGGAGTGAGGCAGCAACCATGCTGGTCTTCTCTCCTCTCTGTTTATATTTTTGTCCCTTTCTCATCTTTAATATGTTAGATTTAGCATTTAATAATCAATGAAATAGATGCGGTATGGTTAGAATGCACCAAAACAAGCTGTAAACAATACAAAGTTTCTGCTCTACATCCTCCCCACATCCTCCTCTGACACCTCTTTGCAACTCTGCTCGTGAAAATCTGGGATTTCTGTGCAGAAAGAGCAAAATAAGGAGCTTGAACCTTGCATGAAATACATGAAGGGGTCAAAGGCCAAACTATCGCTTTGTCTGCCCCACTGTCTGCAGAATGAGCCCAGCGTTTCTGGGGGTGCAGCTGGGGAGATGGTCCCAGAAGCGCTGAGCACGGAGCTCTGCTGTATTGTCTGGGGCCTGCTGGCACCTGTGCAGGGGAGCCGGGATTCTCTGACCGCACTGTTTTCCACCTTCATCCGATTTGCAGAACCATCACAATTTCCCTGTGATGTTGCAGATGACTATATGTATGACAATTTTAAGTTTATGGACAAAAGGCTTGCTTTACTTAGGTAACTTCTGCAGACCGTTTAGAAGTAATCCACAAACCTCAGCACTGGAAATCACTCCTTGAAGGAATGTGAAGGATATAAAAGAAAAGGGCAGTATGCTGTGGCATTTCCTTCTACTGACGAAACCATCATTGGCAATGACCGAGGCCATCACATCATCTTTAGTCTCTTTCCC